GGAAATGTCGCACAGCGTCCCGTAATCACAATTTCCGGATGGAAACTTGATTGTTACAAATCCATGTGATTTTGGACCAATAGGATTGTAGACTGATGTAAAGACACGCAATTTGAAGTTTGCGCCGACCAGAATAATCTGACCAGCTGAACTCAAATAATTGGCGTGGCTGGTCACTGCCATGCCATTGGCCAGATGACCACAACGTCACAGCGCCGCACTAAAGATGAAACATAAAACAGAATATGTGGAATGGTTTTCTTTACTGAATGTCGCTCACTACAGTTCAATGCTTTGAAGTTTCTCCATCCATTGTTGTCGCTCTTTGTAGTGGGTGGCGGCTTGAAAGCCCAACAACGACCAAACCCTACAGTCGAGAATGACGAACAAGCTGGGTGGGCAGCAGGTGGTTGCAGTCAGCCACTAGCTTGCCAGCTTGTTGTAGATCTACAACTGCGAGTTGCAGTTCGTCATCTCAAGCTGGTTGAGGTTCTAGTAGGAGTTTCTACTAGAGGCTGAACTATCACTAGGACGCTGGTGATAGAACTTTGGATTGCATGCATATTTCCTTTCTCACTTTACATTTTACCAAGACACAAGCAATACAATCGGCTAGACCTTAAGGAAGTCCCAGCTTCCTCTGACGATCTTGTATCCACTACTGCGACCTACTACACTCTTGAAGCCGTAGATCGCGGTCTTCTAGTAGACGCTTGCGTTTATCTTCACTGGTACTAAGCTTTTTGTCGATATATCCCAACTGTTTGCGAATTTTGCCAAGCAGGCGAATATTTGGGTCCGCTCTTGCACTTTGACACTAGTGGAAGATCGATTCAGGCAGTTCGAGCTTCACCACCACCTGGGATATGCGTAATATAATCCTGGACGTGGTCTTAGATTTCAGGAGCACAAAATACTATCGTTGTCAACCAGGTACCTGATCTACGAAGCGCATCACGAGCGAGTTAGAAGTTATCTCTCTTCAGTTTTTTTCTCCTCATACTAAGATCTATCGAATACTGTGTTTTGGATGCATCCTATGCGCTGTACAACGGCTCTTAGATTCGACCGCATGCAACAGAACCGTGCGATGCGGTGCGGCCGGTTGAGAATGGGCCTAAGTGAACGTAGTAATTGCGATAGTGTACAAACTCCAGCTGCGCACTGGAATGCAACGAACCAGGCGAACTTAAAAAACTCCTGAACGTCCTCTTGTCAGTGACGTGAAAGCATATTACAACCATTCGACACATACGTTAGCTGCAGCTTATCATCGGCCGCTCCGGTCACCGCAGTGTATAATAAGCTATTGAGATTTATCCAGAACACACCATCGGGTGCGGTTGTCGAGGTGACACAACGTCAATGAGGAGTTATTGATATTAATAACAAGAGCAGCCTAACATATTGGGAATGAGGATCGCTTTATTCTTATCACTGAGCGCGTAGCTTAGTAGGACTACATGCTCAAATAGCAGTGATTGCGTAGCAGGTTTCCACTATTGTTGTTCCGAAGTGAAAAACACCCCGTTTTGCACTAGCCCCAGGTTGCTAGTACACGGTCTCCCTTCCCCCTCCCAATCTCTCAGCATCAACAGACGTCGCGCTATACGCCCCCCCCCCCTACATGCCGCTGTACGCATTCCAGTGATTTGATATGATAACCACTGCTTTCTGTTTAATACACTCGTTCAGGTTACACAAGGGCATCATGGCGGCTGGTCAGATGAAGAGTATGCACGCGAGGCGACACTTCGCTTCACAGCAAGAAGGGAGCAGGCTAACGAGAACGCTTTGCCCATACGCTAGTATTCGGGTGGCCGCAGCGACTTTGATTGCAGGATGGATGCATTTTTTTCCTGTAACGTCCAGTTTTCAGGTAAATTATGCGTCATACTGGCCAACGGCTTCGACAAACAAAAGGAAAGGCCTCATCTCATGCGAAATCGCCGCCTGAATTGATCAGGTATGTATGTAGACTCACAGGATAGGTAAATCTTGTAGAAGCGTGTGTAGACGTCCAAGATGTCTCCATCTAGAGACGTTACCATTGTTCGGTTGGCGGACAACCAATTTCGCAGCGAGTGAGCAAGCGAAATCCCTGCTACTAAAACGGCGACAGCAACTACCCTATCACTATTTCGTTCGTATACGAAAATCATGATAACCGAAGCATATCTTCGTTCGTGGCAAGGAAAACAGTGGGCTGATAAAGGGTGAATGGTCACGCCTCGAGCGGATGCGAAGGTCCAAGTTGAACTAAGCCAAATATCACTATACAACGTAACGATAAGTTCCTGTGCAATTGGTTAGACGTCACAAGTTGGACTTCCAGATAAACCTCGGGAGGTGAAAACTCCCCCCCCCCCATCATCTATATTTTCTGAAAATAAATAGGCAATCCATGGGCATTTTTTTTGGCGATTCTCAACGTAAAATATGGAAGTTAGAAGACTTTTTCGACTTGTTTGCAACCTCCATTATGTTTTGGAGTATTTCCAAGATCAACAGCCTATACATCTTCCTGATGACAACAAAAATGTTAAAAAAAAAAAAAAACCTCCAATATGTTTTGGAGTATTCCCAAGATCAACAGCCTATACATCTTCCTGGTGACAACAAAAATGTTGCTGAAGAAGGAATGACCACTGCCTGAATACATATACAAGCAGGCGGCCCGCTGAAGCGACGTATCCGCTCTAAGGGAGAAGGTGGAAGAATCAGACAAGTATACGCGTGTAGCAAATGCGGATTAGCCGACGGCCACAACAAAGCCTCTTGAAGATCAAAATGAGAAACTGGACTCTCTGCAATGGGCCCCTCCATTACATAAGTAGGTAGATTGTTTTACAAAAGTAGGTGCATCAGCACACGCTACTCGTGTGCTGAATTGTTATCATCTTATTGGCTGATATATGGGAATCCAGAGCCATTATTAGCCAATCAGCCGATGACATGTATTTGAGCGGCCAGGGCTGTCACGCTGGCCCTAAATAAAGTCAGAGTTGAATTTTCCTGATAATTGCGAGCTTCCTCCTTTCTACAGTG